CGGTGGTTGTGTGTGGGGGTGTGTGGGGGCTGGTGCACATGCTAGCATTCAGTGTAACAGGAATAGTTTTCAATAGTCAGACCAGATGAGCCCAGGGACATGAAGAAACTGCAGTGGCTTTTCTTACCCAGCACGGCTGTCCTCCCCAGGCCAAACTAAAACAACTGTCAAGTGATTAGTTCGGTCTGTGTGCCAAACAGCTCCAGCGACGCTCTGCTGCACTGCAGTCCTTGTAGCACAGTGGGTCATTTCACAAAGTTACTTGCAGAGCTTAGGTCTCAGGTTCATTAGGGGCTTTTAGTTGTTTTGTTGATGTCTGGCTTTTGTTGTTTGGGCTCCCAACCCCCACAGGTCAGGATATCCCATCTTTCCCTCTGATACCCAAGTAGTGTGACTCAGCAGCAGCTTTCAGTGGCTTAAAGTATTGACACTGAAGCATGGGAACAACTACTTTGCTAATATTTGTTCTTGTACTCAGAGATAGTATATCGGGCCCTTTTTAGGCTTCCAGTTTGCAAGTGGTTGCTCAGTACTTGGTCTTAAAATACTTTTATGCATTCTTTATCATATGCAAAAAACTTAACAGAACAGAAAAAAAAAGGAAGGTCATCTTTTCCCAGTGCTTGGAAAAACTCAACAGGGATATGCTTTAAATATCCAGCCTGGGCAGCCAACTACAGGCTTGAGCCAAGATTTTGGATGAAACTGTGATTTCACCAGAGTAAGCAAGAGTTCTGCCATTAACTTCATTAGGACCAGAATTTCACCCTTCCACATTTTTATGTTTGTCCAGTGCAGGATAGAGACTGTTTCTGATTTAGATTTATGGAGCTCAGTTGTGTAATCCCTATTTAGCTATTGTATAACTTCCTTGCCTTTATGCAACAGCGCAGGGAACAGTGGAGAAAATAAGGACTCCTTTCCGCTGTTTGTACAAACCGCACAAGGATGTGTCAAAAGACTGGGGCTATTAGTGTGGTTTCCATCTTCCTTTAGGCTCAACTCACCCCAAAGGGATAGAGAGGTTCATAAGTCACAAATTAGTTTCCTCCACTTATGGCACAGGTGGGGCAGAAGAACCCAAGAGGATGTGTTTCAGTATAAAGTCCAGTGACCCGGTTTCTCTTTAAAACCATCTGCATATTTTGTACCATGTTTTGCTATTTAAAGAGAGCATAGCACGGAGGATTGGAAGAAGCAATACAGGTTACTGAGCCCAAGCCTTCCACTCTTGCAGGAAGCCACGCAGTAGGTGTTAAGGGTGGGAGGAGCTACAAGAACCTCAGACCTCCTCAAGCTACATGGAAAACCCCAACACTCATTAACACTTTAGCCCCTTGGCACCAAGGGGCACCAAAGCCCATAAAAATTCCAGTCTGCCAGGGGAAAAGAGGAGGAGACATCAAGGGTATCAACAGTGTCCTAAGCCCCTAAAGAGAAGTTATGTTTGGCAAAAATTCCTGAGAGATCTTAGGAAGTCAGTCACACCTGACACACAACAGGAGGTGACAGTAATCCCCATCAGTCTGTCTCGGTGATAATTACCTTCTGAGCCGGCAAACTGTATAATGCTATGAGTGCATGAGCCAGCTGCACCAGCCTGTGGCATTACTGGGGTTTGGTGACAGCCCTCAGAGTACAGTTGGCCCTGTCGCCTGTCGTCAGTGCCTCAGAGCAGTGTGGGAACCGAACTTGACCCAGAGCCAGATCATACAGCAAGAGGGGAAACAAAAATGCAGGCGGCAAATGCAAGTCCTGAAGAAAGACTTTAGTTAAACAAATGAATATGGAGCACCCTGCAAAACGCTGACAGCCTTCTTCTCAAATGTCTCTCAGGTATACCACAAAATTGAATAGCAGCAGTCTTGTA